GATAGACAGAGGTGACAAAATTGTACAACAAGAAACTAATTCACTTTGTATTGAGAAACAAATGCAGAAAGGCCATACCAAAGGTCCCTCTTTGTGAAATATTACAAAAGGAGTGAAAGATTTAATTGTGACCAACTAATAAAACAAAATAATATGTTGGTTGTTGGTCATTAAAATCAGATTGTACTTAAATCACAAAATCAAAGTAGCTCAACAAGGAAATCAATCTAATTGCATTTTCTAATATTTTGTTATTCTCTAGCCTGCAGTGTGGTGCACAAGATATATTATTTTCAACTCCTCAGTACAGAAGCATGTTTCACTCCATTAGAGAGTGAAAATTGGAGCCATGAAAGTCTAAAGAATTGGACATCAGTCCCCCTAAGCCCCAGAGGTACATTAAGAAATGTTGGTTTGCCCAGCTCTTCCTATTAAGAGCATGTTCTGACTGTGAAGATGGCCTAGCAGCAGAGAGTGCATTAATGCAAGATGTAACTCTGTCCTGTCCTGCAGTTCTGTATTTTATTCTGTAATCTATGGGACAGGATGTTGAAATGTTGCAATGAAAACATTTGTGTAATTTTGAGGTTTTCACCTAAAAATAAATGCTTTATGACGATGAAGGGTTATTTGTTTATTGCTTATCTTATGCATGAAGCTATTGCTGAACCGTAGTGCCAATTTAATAACAAAGTGCTAGTAGTTGGAGTCTTGTTTATAAGACTGATATTTTCATAATAAACGAGTGATCCTTTAATGTGTATATTCACATATTTCAGAGCTGCAACATATGAATGCAGGTTGTAAAAGGTGGGATTTGGCACCTCAACACATAGCAATGCTTCAAAAAATAGTTTTGCTGCTCTTTGGGTTTTTGAAGGGCAAAATGTTTAAGAAAATGTATTAAAAATTGCTATAGTCAGCAACAAAAATATTTGCTGTTAGTGTGTTAGGAGGTAAATGATAAATGGACCCCCAACCAGGAGGGATCAATCCACTGTTTTTATTAAAGAAAGTTGTTTTCAATTTAGATCCTGAGCCAATTAGTCAGTATGTCATTAATTACATGAAAGTGTACACCAGCACTGATTTAGCTCCTCAGCATAATGTTTTTTGGGGGTTTTTTTGCAAGTCAAACACATTTTATATATATATATATATATATATATATATTGCTATGATAAGCTTTGGGGAAACCTTAAAAGGAAACAGAATTGGTAAAGATTACTTGTTATTTTTAGTTTGGACTCTGTTTTAGTCCGCAGTGGATTAACCACTCAGAATGCTGGTGAGTGTTTTATTTAGTGGCCCTTTTATTTAGTGGCCCTTGTGTGAGTTCTGTTGACAGACGGGGACATTTGGTTTGGAGCAGATTACTGGACAGTATGCTAGTCTTCAGATGATAACCCCACATCAGCACAGATCTCCACATGAACTGGCATAAAATCGCTAATGGGAAAAAGAGTGTGTATTTGTGTCTGTGTGTGTGTGTGAAGGGTGGTGGGGATGTGTATGTGGAGAGCTTTATTCTTTTTAATCATATTAAGTTGGATCATTAGATAGACCCATTTACACAGTGCTTTTCATGAGGTGTGTAGGACCAAATCCTATTGGATATCAGCCTAATCTACTGCAAAAGCTCCACAGTTGGTAGCTGCAGCTTTGTTGGAGACTGTATCTCCCTCCGCTGATGCCGGGATGTGAACATCTAACATTTATTTTTCTGTATTAAAATTAGCAATGTTTTGCAATTCTATGTCTAAATGGTTTTCTGAAAAATAATAAGCACACAAATGGTTAGATTCTCAGCGTGAATAATACAGCTAATCTCTTTCTTCAGAAAAAGCTCACATGGTTTCAAAATGATCAAACGTGTATTGTTGGAAATTTAGAAAATGTTTCTATCTAGTCCATGGTTCTACCATTAAAATTCTCCCCCATAATAAAAGTGAGTATTGTAATACTTAGCTATTTATTTATTTATTTATTTATTTTACCTTTGCAGTCTATGTCCTGTTAGTTTGAAATGAATCTGACCTTTCTCAGAGGATGAATACTTTAAGGCCATGTCAGTCTGAAATGCTCAAAGATTATTTCTCAGCTGCATTTTGTCGCGTGAAATGCAGTCCAGTCCTGATAAAAATAGAACCATGATCCCCATCATTTAAAAGAGGATCAGGAAGGAGGTCCTGCTGTTATGACCTTTTGAGTGCGCTCTGGGGGTTGACGCCAGTATGGTGACAGTTGTGAAGTCGACTCATGAGACCACTTAAGCAGATCTAGTGTGGTTGAATTACAAGAGTCAATTCCCTAATGATGTTTGGCTTTTAACGTGTCACTGTTAAGGCTATATGTCGTGCAAAATAACGCAACATCTTTGTAAAAAGCCATAGTACTTCATAATACTTCATAATGTAAGCACTTATGCTCCATAAAGCAATGCTAAATATACAGCTGTTGGTCAGAATGTATATTTTTGAGTACAGCTAAGATGTTTAAAAACAATATATAGCCTATAACATTCTGGAGATCAACATTTTGCTTTTGGACATTTAAATTAAATTTTTTTAATCAGTCCAAACTTTACTAAGCAGAGTTCAGTGAGAAAAAAGAGTTCTGTTTTTTTTTATGCAGAACATCTGGTTTTAATTTTAAATAAAAAAAAAAAAATATGGCAGTACTTTTCCTTTGGGGATATTTTTTTAGCTGCCATAACAATTGTCTTGTGTCTAGTATCACATTGGTTTATAATTGTGAAAATATAGAGTATTTTGTGAAGCATCAAGTCCTGTTCCAATTATGAAATTTGTATCTATTTTGGTAATAGGGGTACAAAACACAAAATACTGCATCCTTGATGTAACAGCACTCTGCTGTTTGTTTTTCTTGAAAGAATTTTAATATCAAACATGTATATAAGAACAGTCAAAGCTTCTTCATAATGTTGTATTACATTAATATACATATTTATATAAGTATATCCGTTTTGGCCTGCCTCATATTTTACCTGAGGCATCTAAATTTGCATTAAGAAGATAATGAATATTTCTAAAGTCTTATGATCTTTTGCTCATTTTAAAGCTGTGTTGATAAACCCATCTATTTTGAAAAGACCGAACACATCAGTCATTTTCACTTCTAAAGCTTTAGATATATATCGGTGATATTACAATCATGAACTCTAACAGGCAAACATTTGATGATAGTGGCAGAAATAGAGTGGAAAATAGCAACAGAGAGAGAATTGTGGAGAGATTTGATTGAAACAAAGACTGATACACTTAGAGAATTTAGTATGCAGATCAGCAAGCAAACTTTTTTAGACCCTGTGTTGAAGTACTCAGCAGTGAGCAGTCTAAACTTTCACTTATAAGCCTTTGCCTCAAGCCATAATATCAAATATTTCAGTCACATTCACTGAAGCTACAAAAAAAATGTCTTATTACTTATGATCAAAGGGTGCTGTTTTCTGGAAGAGACACAGTGCGTCTGCCAGAATTTGCATTAGAGTTGAAGGCAGGTCATTTTCAGTGGATAAATAGCCACTGAGAAACAGGCATGATCATGTTGTTTTTGCTGGATTTAAGATCTTTTACTTTTAAGAAGAGTTTAGTTGGGAAAATGCTGTGGGTGAAAAATCTAAATGTGGGAAATCTTGTTTTACCCAGTTAATGAGGATTGCAAAGTTAAAAGGAAAAAAAAACAACTTTAAGCTCAAGCAGTGTAAATAGATGTTATCTTTTTGCTCTTCCTTAAGAGCTTATCTTCACACCCATCCACTATTTGTCATTCAGGCTCTCCATGAAAATATATGGACCAACAGTTTTATAAGGTAAACTTTTCTGCCTTTAGAACTGCTTCAATTCTCAAAGGCTCAAAGTTCATAAGGGCATCATGAACAATACATGGACAGTTTGGTCCATACTGACATGATAGTATCTCACATGCTACATATTAGTTGTTTGCACATTCATAAAACAAATATCCCATTTGGACTGATCCTAAGGGTGCTCTGTACTGTAGTGACTGTGAAAGTCACTACAATACAGTGAACTCATTGTTCGTTTCAAGGAATCAGTTTGAGATGATTTGAGCTTTGTGACATTGTGGGAGTTGCTACTGTTGTCATTAAGGGATGGAGATGTCACAATGTCACATTGGGTGCTGAAGCACACTCTAAGTGCTCACCAAAAGATTTGCAAGAAATAGGATTAAAGACTTTTTAAAGAAAATGTATTATCTAACATCAACTTTTTTTAGCTTTATATCAGGTTATAATGTTATTCTTTCATTTAAAACATACTTGGAGTGTTGCTTTGATCCTTTCATGCACGTTTGAGGAATCCTTGAATCTCCCGTGGCAGCCATTTGCCTCCTGTTTTCACAAAACTCCTCCTTGGAGCTACAGTCTCCAGCCTGGTGGATTATGCACCTGCTGGGCGTATCATACAAACTACTTCTCAGTCCAATGCTCCTAAGAACAGTTAACAACATCATAAGAAGCATTGTTGTGGTGTGTCAGAAAGAGTAGGAGATTCTTAAAGAGACAGAGGCCTAATTTCAAATTTCTTTTAAGTCATGTATATACAGCATTTTCAAAACTGAAGGTGACATATTGATTGTGCTATAAAATGTCTTTACATACATGGAAAATACACAATACTTACTTTTTAAAAGTTTGGAAGTGAAAAAAATATTGCTAGATACTCCAGCATAATTCTGGGGAAGGGAGAAGAGTCGGTATGAGGAAAGATCCCATGAAATTTGCATAAGTTGAATAATAAGATTTATGAACCATTTCTTTTTAGATAGCGTGTTGGGGTATTGCAAAGGTCCAGTTGAATCTATTCAGCTGAATGTGATGCACCTAAAAATGCCCCCACACTACGTTTGGTTGTTTTATAAATTTTAAATATTTTCATATACTATTTATTTTATTTTTTCCAAATGAACAAATTATATTTTGTTAGAATTTTTTGGAATGTTATTCTGCTGTATTTACATTGCTTTACTGGGGTTCAGATGGGGGCAATAGCGGCGACGCGGAACCTTTATATAGGGGTCGTTGCTTCCGGGTTGGTTTTGTGACGAACTTCCTGTTTGTCTCAGACACAATCTGGATGCTAAAGGTAGCGTTTCCGTCGTCTTTGCTAAATCCTGTTTTACTGTTCTTCAGGTCACTACTCTAAAACTGCTCTGTAAGATGTTTACCTTTAATTTTGTCATTTGATAGCACTGTGATACGGTTTCTGTGCACCTTATTGTTAATACTTGTAAGTTTTTATCAACCTAGGTTTAGATTGACAGGAAGCCAACCTGCGCCGGGGAACTCTCACGGGGTGAAATGATTGAAAACCGCGATATCTTACTAACTCCGGGTTTTAGGAGTTTTATTTTGCTTTTGTTTGAATAATATTCAGTGCATGGTGCTTGGTGTTATAAAATAGTTAAGAACCTGAGAGTAAAGTGACTCTAGTTGAGTTTAAAGGTAGAGAAACTATTCTTTGTTCATGAAGCGTGGGAATTCAGACGTTAATGTTGGAATAATGCCATGTTAAATTTTATATATCATGTTTGTAATTCTGTTTTTATCAGTACTAAGTAAGTTTGATGTTTATACCAGTTAATAAGCAGCTGAGTGCAGTCAAGCTTTATAAATAGTTGATTTATCCTATTTAATACACTATACTTTGGTTGTCTTTGTCTAAGTGAGGGAGGATGATGTCAAAAGGGTAAACAGTAATCAAGGTTTTTAAAACAAAAGTTAATGTAAAAGATTAATATTGTATACTGTAAAAGATTTATTGGTTAACAAGTAAATGAGTACATCTGGATGCTAATGGCAACGCTTTGGTGATTATTGCTGAATACTGTTTTACTATTCTTCAGATTGTGTACATCACTGTTGTAGCAGTTCTGACACTTGGGATCTGTAACATGAAGGAACAGCGAGAAGTGGGCAAGCAGGTGAGTCTATGTTGGAGTTTATGCTGGGCAAATGTGGAAGACAGTGGAAGAAGCAATTGGCTTTAGTCAATTCAGTGGAGATAAAAGGAGGAGTATGAATTGCCAAAAATCAGGAGGGATTTGTAGAGGAAAAGTAAGTTCTCAAATCCAGATTCTAACAGTTTCTGAACAAAACATTCATTGAGGCGCCTTCAGCAATCTGGCAGTGAGCTGATGTGTGGAGTGGGCTATAACAGCAGCAAAAATAAAGTTTTGGAATCACCCAACCTTCGTCCAGAACTAAAATAAATAGAAAGTTTGTGGAAATCACAATCTGACAGATTTGGAGAAGTTTTCTGAAAAATTAACATCTTCCTACTGAAGAATACTAAATGTTCAACTAATACTTCAAGTGCTTTCAAGTATTAGTTGACATGTTTGGACACATACAAACTGATTATTTAATTCTTCCGTTATGTATTGTTTTTCTATTGAACTGCATATTGAATCTTTTATCATACATTGGCAGTGGGAAAGGTTCTGAAAGGATTTATTATGGTCTCATTTCTGACATGACAAAGCACAAATTTTCACTGAGGGTAACACTTTTTAAATTTAACTTTGGTAGTGGTAGTACCAAAGTGATATAATGCCGAGAGGCTGAGAGAAGGAAATATTCTATCAGGGGAAGAGTGTTTTGTAAGGCTATTGATGATAAATCACAATAAGTGATTTTCATTTTGTTTGTTTTTATGTATTTAGCAACCCCCTTTGTAATTTCCCAGAGGTATTGTATAAACAGCCTATTTATTGCGTTTTATTTATAAAGGAAAAAAAAAGAGTAAAACATAATAAAAGTCTCTGTTTATGATCTGATAATTTACAAATATTTATTTACTCTACTTGACGTGGACTTATCAAACTGATAAATTCTATACAATATAGGTGTTATGTTATGCATGCGTTTTTTTTTATTGTGCTCTGCAAATCTTTTTCCCATTACAAACAATACAAATTACCATTGAGCATTTGCAGTTGTACATCTTTCATGTTTACTAATGTTTTTTTCCATGATTATCTACATTATGTTTTAGGAACCAGTCAACAAGGCCAAAGGGTAACTACTGTATATACATTAAGGACAAAAAAAATAAATATACTAGATATAAGGTTAAATTGTGGTCTTTTACTCAATTGATGAGTGACCACAAAAAAACGAAAAAAAAAAGTGTTGACAAAGGATGGATGATTTTAATTGTCTTTTTAATCTATCTTAACTGCTATGCCATGCCTGTATATATCAAACTTTTTAAATCTGATGTCAAGATAGCTGGCATAGAAACCAGTATAAAAGCCCTTTTCAGGTACAGTCCTGTTTACCTTCTTATGTATTTCTTCAGTTTTTGCTTTTTTCACACTCAGGTCTTTCAGATCATTACCTATACCCTAAACCAAACAGGGCATTTATATTCTAAAGTAATGCCATGTAATATATTAAGGAAAAAGTATTTCTTAACTATCCTGGTTCTAAGTGAAAATATGTTAGGATCTTGAGTTGTTTTGTGGTTTGTTATTTTGTGTTCCTTAGTCCTTTCTGTTAGTTCTGCCTTGTCTCTATTATTCTTAGTGATTCTAGTTGTGTTCTTTTCTTGTCTTGTTGTTTTCTTAGTTACACTACATTTTTTATGTTTCTTATGTCTAGTTATTTTGTTAGATTTGTTGTCTAGTCCCCTGTGTACACTCCCTCGGCCCCTGTGCCACTTTTCCTTTCCTTTTCAGGGTTTCCCCCAGAATACTTGCTAAGCCCGGTGTTCGGGGCGCCAAGGCGGTCCACTGTTGGTTCAACTCGGGTGACTAGTGGATGAATATTACTTCTGACTGAGAAGTTGCAGTGATTTCTAGGGCAGCTCCCTCCACGCCTATTGGTTACTGAATCTCAAATGTTGTTCCCTTCCAAAGTGTCACTTGATTTCCTAGATCTGAATGAAAATCTACTTTATTGATAAACTCTCAACAATAGAAACAATATTATTTAATGTATTGCTCATGTAGCCATTTTAACATATAGTAATTGTGGGACTTGGCTAAGGATTTCCCCAACCCCCTGGTCCCCCCCCCCCTTTTTTTTTTAATGAAACTCTGTAGATATACAGAGGATGCTTGAATGAGTCATGTTCAATTACTGGTATCCTTGAAGGCTGCAGCTCATATACGGATACAAACCCCAATGAAGCTGTTTTTTTTCTGGGGGTTGGGACTGTGTTATTATTCCCTGTTGTTTTCTCCCCAAAATCAATTTTCTCAGTTTCTATGACTGTATACCCCTAATTGACAACATCAAAAAAAGCCTCAGGTCTTTGTGAGGACCCAGTCTCCTCGTTCAGCGAGATAAACTGAGCATTGTTGACAAGTTCTCAGCATAGATTAAAGTGCACTGTAACACTACATTGTCTCAGCCTGTGGACACCCCATCAAGGATGTGTTTCAGGCGACTTGTCCCAGAAGGGATGTTTCATATGAAGCATTATGTTCTAATATTTCATACTAGTTCTTTTATGCAATGCCTTGAGGGCCTCTGCTGCTCTGATAGTCAATGTTTTGATGTAAGGTGTTATTTATCAAATATTTCTGTGATTTTCATGCACACTTACATAGGATGCACTGCATCTGCATTTGCAATGTATAAACCTCTAATCATATTCTGAATTTTATTTCAACTTCCTGGGGCAAATCATTCTGCATCATCACTTCATGTGCAGCACCCATTTAAAACTTGTAAACATCGTGGCTGGGTGGTTGCTGATATTTAACTTTTTTGAAACATAAGTGATTATAGTATTTTTTTTCTGTAGTTTATAGCAACATCAATATCAAGAGACCAAGAACACAACCTAGAGGTGAGAGGGATCAAAGAGGACTGTTACGCTAATTCCAACAAGACCAGTTTTTTTTTTTTTTTTTTTTACCATAATACAGTAATTTGGAAAGTATGACTCTAGACATCTAAAAACAAAGTTGGAATGTGCTAATCTGCTCCAAAACCTTTTTATTTCAAACAATAAATTATTTTACCGTTTTTCAAAATATATTAATACCTTTGCTTATATATAATTTCATGTAATTATTATTTTTTTTTAAACCTTGTCATACACTTTTTTAATTTTGTTCCGTTTCTCATTCCCTTTTTGCCAGTTGACTGTTGTATAATTTGACAGATTGACTCCTGATCAAAGCAAGATAACTTTTAAATGACCTCCTCAAAATGTTCTTACTGTATCAGTGTAACACAGAACGTTTCACTAATCCACTGACATCCAAGCAGGTGTTAGTATCGTCAATGATTTGTATATTAGCATTGCAAGTACTGAGCAAGAAAATAGAAAAACAACAACAACTATGTTTGTGTGCATGGCTTGGAAAACTGCAATATATATTTTGCACATTATTTTGTTTCTCTAACAAAGCTGAGGTCACCCTTGCCAATGACAGTCTCAGAGAAAGAGCGTATGCATCAGTGGTTCCGAGAAATAAATGAATCATCATACTACTGTGTGATTAAATATTACATTTTTTAAGGTCTTTCGTTTTTGCCATTAATTTTCTTTAGACAAAGCTTAAATAATATTCCTAACCATGATGCTCTGTTTTACAGGTCAACGAATGTAGTGACTAGTGTTCCAGCAGCTCTCCCAGGATGGCAGGGATATCTGGACAAAGTTCATGCAGCATGCCACATGTCACAGACTGAGGTAGACTGAAGAAGTCTGTCTTTCACCACCAACATTTTTGCAGAAGGTAAAAATATAAAAATTTTTAGAGGAAAACTCAGATGAGTACGATTAACAAAGTAAAATGCACCTCCAATGATACAGTTTTGCAAGTCATACATATCAAAATGGCTGTAATGACAAAAATTGGCCAAAAGGCCATTGAATGGTTTGCTAGGCCAGTGGCTGAAAAAAAAAAAAAAAACACAGAAAAGAGAACAACATATATCAAGTGTTTTTGGTATTTCAGAAAAATATCACACAAAATAAACATCTATGAAATAAGAACTTTTATTCATAATATATTCATACTTGTACACAAGTAAAATAAAATAAAATGCATATCTATGATTCCATTGCAATCCCCAATGAATAAAAGGACAGCATTCATTTCATAAATGCTCCCCATATATCCTTTCTGTCATGAAAATATAGAACTAAAATCCAGGGGAGGCAAAACATTTGTTTTTATAAACATAAAAAAAGAACATTACAACAAATGTATGACTTTGAATAAATAATGAGAGGGGATTGTTTTTTTCTTTAAACAGACCAAACATTCTTTGTGTGCATTCTGTCTCTGATTTCCTGTATGAGGCTTTTTTTCCACCTTTTTTTGTCCTTCATTTTGTCTTCTTGTGGTCTGTCTAAGCAGTAAAAGCTTTTAGGGGGGAAAAAGGAGGATTCTCCAAAGTGCATCTTAGACACAGTACAATTGAGTACATAGAGAACAAACAATTTTGGGCACCAAATCAATATTTACATTAGATCTGTAGTGTTCTGTAAAGGCATCCGTTTCTTTTATTGTACTCTTTTCATTATTGTTTGTCTCCAGCAACGTTGGATCAACATGACTCCTTGCTTCTCAGTCACTTCCTGTTGTAGGTGTCACTGGATCTTCTGTATCATTGTCATTAGCATAAACATTCTTGAGTCCTTTGTGCAGAGTGTTGTCAGGAGTCCTAAGACATGGCTAGAGATATCCAAATCATGGGAATGATGAGAAAGTGCAACACTTGCAAAGTAGAGCTCTGGCTTTTACTGCAGTGGGAATCCAATTTTGTTTTTTTGGAACACTTCTTTTTCTTTTTGTTTGATGCTGTAGATGATTCTGGATTCTCTATGAACTCAGGGTTTAGGTTTTCCAATGTCTTGTCCAGGTTGTTAGATAAGGTCCCCAGTGGCCCATCATTCTGCTTATTCTGGGTCTCATTTTTTGTTCTTTCTTGCTGCTTGTATTTGGTCTTGGACATGTTCTCCTTTTCCTTAGGGGGATTATTCGTGATCTGGCGACTCTTTCCAGAAAGGATGGAGGATTTGTCATTATCTCCAGGACAACACTTGGGAATGATGTCGCCTAGAGGGCTTTCAGTTGAGGAAAATTTCCCAGACTGTGCCTTGGAGTTAAAGAGAGTTGTCTGGATTTGTGATGTCTCGACACATCCCTCCAATTCTTCACTTTTCAGTTGTTTCAGGTCCTTTCCTGCCAGGAACTCAGGGACATAGCACTCCAATTCTGAACTGGAGCCTTTGAAACGTTTGAACCAATCCCACAATGTCCTTGCACGGCAGTCACAAATCCACTGATTCCCATTTAAGCGCAAATACTGAAGGGAAACCAGAGGATCCATTGTCTCCCCAGTCAAGACAGTAAGGTTGTTGAAGAACAGGAACAAGGATTTTAGTTTCCCGAGATCACTAAAAGCCCTGGGTTGTACAAAGATTACCTGGTTCTGGTGTAGCAGTAGCCTGTCCAGATTTATTACGCCACGAAACATGTTGTCTGTTACTATCTTGATCTTGTTATTATGCAGGTGGAGATAAGTGAGATTGGCAAGGTCCACAAAGGTGTCATCATGCAGAGTGTGAATGTTATTATCCTGCAAGTAAAGATACTGGAGAGAGAACATTCCTCTGAAAACCCCAACAGGGAGCTCTGACAGGCCACACCTGTGAAGGTGGAGGGTGTGCAGCTTAGTTAAACCCCGAAAGGCCGTTGGGTTGATGGTGCGGAGGTTGCTGTTATCTCCAATGTCCAGTTCCTCCAGTTTTTCCAGACCAAAAAAGGCTCCAGCCTCGATGTAGGTTATGTTGTTTGAGTAGAGCCAGAGAACAGTAAGATTGTGGCAAGAACTGAAGCTAGTGGACCTCACCACTGTCAGCTTGTTACTCTGGAGGAATATCCGTTGGCTCCGTACAGGAATCACTGTAGGAATGGAAAACAGTCCTTGTTGTTGGCAAGCCACAGTGGGCTTGGGCTCACTGTAGCACACACACTTGGCAGGGCAACTGTCAGTTTGAGGCAATAGGTTCAGCCACATCACCAGGAAAAGGAGTCGCCCCCCTGTGGAGACATTAAGAAAAGACACAAGTGGATCAGTAAATATTAAATAAATATAACCTGGAAATCTGCAGAGAAAAGAGAATCTTGGCCAGTGTTCACAGAAAATAATAAAACAGGCCACCTTTCAGTATTCCCTAGACAATGAATATGCTATTTGTCTCTTTTGAATAAGTGTCAGCTGAAATGTAATAAAAATCAAACAAAATTCCAAATATTCTTTTGATATGAGCTTGATGTTTAACACGAATAAACAGAACAGTTAATCCAGTTTAAAAATTGATTCACTGGATGTTTTAGCTTTGATGTTGTTTGGATTGAAAGCAGCAGGAGTCCTCTCAACTGCTGACTCATTTTGAATTGGGTGGATGGCTGCTGTATGGAATTAGCTTGATCTAATAAGGCAGACATAACTAATGGTGTTTTAGTGTTCCTGATGCTGACATTGTGCCTGATTGTGGGAGAAAAATCACCATGCCAAGCAGAAAAAAAAAAATGAAAATCTGATAATGCTACCAGGTAGCCAGAACCAATTAATTATTTTGGGGGGAGCTAAAATATACCACCATTACCCTTTATTACATAAAGTGTCAGTGTTAGGGTTTATATTCAGGAATCACCATAAATTCTTACCACATAAAGGGAGTACCTTGAGATTCATGAACAATTGTAAAACAAGATTTTAGAGTTACCAGATGATATGAATCAAAATCAAATAATTAAAGATCAGCTTCTGTGTTGACTCACTATGTTCTACCAGAATCAGTTTTAACAACTAAAGAAAAAAAAAATTGCTTCATCAAATTTCCTTCAATCTTTACAATATAAATGATCAGACTTTAATATTATACAGCATCATTGCTTGAAGCATGCTGTATGCTTAGCAATTAAGACCAATGTTTATTTTATGTGTTTACCCATGTTTAAAAATAAAACATACGTCACATTAATTATTTGTGCATGTTCTCTGCCATGGTTCAGATTAAAAGTATTATAGCTGAAATGGGGTTAGATAGCCACACATAAACGATCCACTCTGATATTACACTACTGTTCAGCTCAGTAAAAATTTAACATTATCTACAACCACTCAGTCATCATTCATGTACAGACGAAGATGTCAACATGTCACAAACTGTGGTAATCATACAACGGGAGATACGCCTCCAATTCTCTGAATCCCGTTAAACTCCGGTCCCTCCTCAAAATTTCCAATCTTCGCTCCAATACACATGTAAGGAATCCGAGGGATGGCAGGCATGACAGGTGGTGAGAGTGGGGGAAAATGCATGAGCCGTACTCATCCCTCCTTACATCCCGCTGCTCGCCCCCCTCTCATTCGCCCGCAAAGTGTTGTGGTGCAGCTTATCTCTGGACCTTGTTAAACGGGGCTCTGGTGTGGCCTGACAGCAGCCCTCTGCTGCACTTTCCTTCCAGCCTCCCTGCTCAGCCGTCAGACTGCCACCGGAAAGCTGTCAAGACCTTCCACTCTTTCTGCACCGCAGCACTTTTCCCTCAGCACTGACTAACAATAGCGATATTTTACCTCACAGCACGCTTCGTGTATCTCCTCTGTCGTCTTCATTTTTTTCTCCTCGCTCTCCTGCCTGTTCATTAGCAGTTTATTTCACCTGCACCTCATGTCATTGCGCGGATTCCACAGAACGAAGCAAAATATGTCTTGTTTTTGTTAGAAACTGTTGAATGAAAGAAATAATCCCTAAATGTCGTTGAACCCCCGATAATTCTCCTGAGTAAATTGCGTTATTCTTTGAGCAAAATTCTAGCATCCCAACAGAAGCCTTGATGTAACATTAAGATTAGATCCTGTGTGGTTCAATCTGTAGCAATGATTCTTAAACTGTTGCACATGTGGTTTTTGGGCTGTGGTAATCTGAATAAATGTTTTATCTATGATTTTTTTGATGGAAAATATGAACAAAGTGATGAAGTGGTCATAGACACACACATAACAAAACAAAATATGTTTTAACACAAAGATCATAAACTATAGTGTGAAAAATGTAAAGTTCATGTTAATTCTTATACTATTTTGCTATAACATAATCAGCGAAGGAAGCTTTTTTTTTTTAGCTCCAATTATAGACAACTTTTTGTCGCTTGGCAGCTATATTGGATTCGGTGGAAATGGTTGGTGTGAAACATCCAATTTTCTCACATGAAATTCTGACTTCCAGTGGCATGTAAAACTGGAATTCATTACTGAACCACGTCCTTCCACCAAACATGCAACATATTTGATTTTGTTAAAAAAAAAAAAAAATCTCTGGGGGTGCTGTGGTGGCACAGGGGCAAAGCACAACCCACGTATTGAGGTCTTGGTCCTCGTGGCGGTGGTCACAGGCTCGATTCCCGGCCTGGTGACATTTGCTGCATGTCTTCCCCCTCTCTCGTTACCCTGTTTCCTGTCCAACTACTTTCAAATAAAGGGCACTAGAGCCAACAAAACCTTTAAAAGAACTAAATAGGTCGCTGCCATAAAGATGTTTGAAAATATATATCAATGTGGTGATATTTGGAGATAACTTTTTACTGTGGTGGTACTTGTAAGATGACAGATTTAGGAGTACATAAAGTAGGCATAGCCCAGTTACCAGGATTAAGGTACACCAAGGATTTAAAAAGTTTCTAGTTCTAAAACAACTATAATGTTTATATATATATATAATTTGCTGAGTCTTAAGTTCTTGTAATTAAATGCTAGCAAAAGTCTCTGAGTGACCCATGTGTTGTCTGGCTGTATAGAGTTTATCTGGGCTGACTCTCCCTCACCTGTGTCAGTGCTCTATCTGTTAAACCTAGACATTAATTCCTTGTATTTTGGAAACAGAATAAAATTCTGGAGTTTTAGGAATATGTTGAAAGAAACTGACATGTGTACATTAAATTATCTGATTTGTGATCGTCAACAAACAAAAAGGGGTTCCAAGGCTCAGGTTATGTGTCATTTTTTATTCCTATAAGTATGTTAAACAAATTCTATGATGGAAATACTCTTGACAATTTTCTATTGAATGGTAGGGTTTGATCTTGGCTCTTCTTTGTTTTATTTTCCATTTGAGATAGTTTCACTTCAGAGTTGGATAAACTACTTATTACTGCTGCACAGATTCCAGCTTTGGTAACAAATTAATAAAGACAACACTTTCTTGTGTGCTGCTTGTGTGTATCCACTATTTCTAAGTACTCAAATATCTGATGTGTTCACATTGAGTAAAACAATTCCGCACAAGGAAGCTAACTTTTAATATGTAGCAAAAAAACACTGTGTAAGCCATTTTTCTTAGATAGGGTTGTAACAATACATCCATCTTACAAGACTAACATGGTTTGGGTAATATTATATATTATATATTGTATTGCATGTTGTATATTGTATCTCAATGTATTTTTTTGTCTACATATAGAGATGGTTCTAGTGCCAAAAATGCATGGAGTATATTGCTTTTTATATCTTCACAAATGGATTAAAGGTTTCAGAAATATCAAATTTTATTTTATATAATCCTTATAAAGGATTTTTTTTTTACCCATTACTCTAAGCAGTTGGGGATTTGAACTACTGTCTATAAAAAACTGTGCAATGGCCCTTTTCATGGTCACTAATAGGAATCTCCAAACCAGACTTTGGTGTTATTAGCAATTAACTGTAAGCCAGTTGCAGTAGCTTTCACTCTTCTCACAGTTTTCAGTTTTATTCCAGTTCTTGCAATAAAATATTATTTGACTCTGACAAATTAAAGGCACATTGAAAAGGCACAAACACTACAACAATTAACATGCACAGAAATACACATAGTGATTTAGTCTCTTGCTGTTTGTTTTTCTACTAAGTACCCAAATGATTTAGAAGTTGGCAGGGGACTTCCTTAATGCTTTTGTGTTGTCAGACAGTCTTTATGTCCCTAACTATATAATATCAAACCCAGTCGCAGCAGTCAGGATCGTAATAAGAGGGTTAACTGGTTTTATCAACAAAATCAAGCAAATCAAGAC